CTGTGTTATAGCTGTTTTCTGTTGGGCTTCTTACCTTCTTGACCTTGGCAACTTAAGAACAGGCAAGTGCCTTGAGGGGGAAATCTGGCACCAAACATCAGGCACACTTCTCTGCACCTGCCTTTTTTAAAAATAGGGTCTTGACCGCTGAAGTCCTGACTACCTTGATAACACTGACTTCCAACTTTTGTCTTCATAGCCCTGTAAGATTGCCAAAATCTCCACTGGCTGTCTGCCATTTAATGGCACTGTAGGCAGAATTTGCAGTCTCTGGCCTAGAATCAAATGTCTGCAAATGTTACAAAGGGAAAAGCTGTGTGCAGAATGTTTGGGTTCAAATCTCAGAGATTCCCTTCTTTTGGGATAGGGGTTTTTCAAGTCCTGGTTCCATTAGCAGCTCTCTGGTGCATTTAAACATATATTTTTTTCATATCCCCTAGTTATTTTGAATGGGAATTGTCTGATACTAAGTCCTCCATGATAGGCAGGAGCTGAATTTCCCTGTTCCAATATTGACCTTTTTTCTCTATACATGCTACATAGCTTTTGTCTTGGAGCTTCTTTTCACTATCATCTCTCTTGTTCTGGATCCCCCCCTTTCCTGAATCCCATGCCTTCCTTTTTCTTAAGTTTCTTGGTTTGAGGAAGTACCATCCACAATAATTCCCTGAGAAGGGTGCTTGTAACATGGTATATTATTATATATATGTATATTATTATATGTTTATATGCACATTATATGTATAGTATAACATATGTGTAATATAACTTATGTATGATATACAATATGATATAGTATTTGAAAAATATTTGAGGAGAGTGGTCTTCCAGGTATCTGGAAATGTCTTCATTTTACAGTTGTTTTTTGAATATAGATTTATAGGTGGGAAACATGTTTTCCTCTAGTTTCTTCATTGTTTCTAGCTTCTGGGTTTGCTTTTGAGGAGTCAGGTATCATTCTGATTCCTGATCTTCTTATGTCACACATTTTTCTTTCTGGAAGCGCTTAGGATCTTCTGTTATCTTTACTGATCTGTAATATCATGGTGACGGGTCCTTGTGTGATGAGATTTTAATTGATAACTTTTTTGGATGTTCTTTAGAGACCTTAAATCTGGAGCTTTCTGATCATCAACTCCGAAATATTTTCTTCTTGATGTTTTCATAATTTCCTCTCCAACATTTCTCTTTTCTAAGACCTCTGTCATTTGGATATTGGCCCGCTTAGATTTGCTTACCTATTTTCTCATGTCTTAGCCTTTTTTTCTTTGTTTAATTTCTTCTAACAAGTTTGTTTTTCCTTCTAGCTGTTTTATGGATTTTTTAAAATTTTCAGCTAACATATATCCAGTTTCTAACAGTTCTTTCTTCTTCTCAGGATGTTTGTTCTCATAGCAGTTTATTATATCTTGGATTCCATATCTTCTGTCTCAGAGGAGGTTAATTACAGGTTTCTTTTTCAGGTTTTTCTCTAATATCTGTATTGTCTTTATGTTCTCTAAGTTTTTCTGTATTTTGTTTTATTTTTTAGCCTCTGTCATTCATGCTTAAAGTTTTCCTCAAACATCTATGATTCATCTTAAGCTACCCATTCATTTTAAGAAAAGAATTCTAAAAAGTTGATAGAAAACCTGTGGATTTTACTCTAGATGAAAAAATGACAAACCAGTGATTTCATTCAGGGACCACAAGGTGTCATTATTTATAGATCTTTCCTCATAAGATTTTTAATGTAGTTTATACAGGATTTTATGTTTGAAAGGGTTCTTTCTCTTTATTTCTGTCTGTCATATTTCTTCAAATTTTTACTATTTATTTTAACTTGTATTTCTTGGATCAGTAAGGCAGTTGAACACCATTTCATGGTGTTTCATGGTGTATGTCTAATTTCTGAATAAACTTATTTTTCCTATAATTTTCTCTTGTCATTTTGATCTTTAACACTTAAGAACACTCTATGTCTTAAAGTTATTAACCTTGTGTATATATTGATACTTTCTTTCCATTTAATTTTCAACTTTGATTATGGTATATTTTAAAGTAAACAAATGTTTTAGTTTTGTCTTTACAGACTTTTCAATGTGATTCTTAGTAGTTTATGACCTGTAATCATGTTAAAAATTGTATTATCCATATCATATAATGAAAATGACTTCCTATATTTTCTCCTAGTGATTTTATTCTTTTATTTTTGTATATACTTTTTTTCTTTGTTGGGAGTTGCACATCTAACTTTATTTTTCCCCTCAAAATTAGCAGTTGTGTCAGTCAAATTAATTAAACAGTCCATCTATTCCCCAAGTGATTTGAAAAGCTACCTTCATTTTGTCATAAATTGGCATGGACTTCATTTCACTGTTTTCTTTCTCTGTTCATGGTCCAGATCACACTGTTTTAATTACTGTAGTTTTATAATACATTTTTATATTCTTTCTCTTTTTTAACATAGTTTTTCTTCTTATTTATTTGTATGCAAGGTTAACTTTTTAAAAAATTACTGACTCAAGTTTGATTTGAAATGGTCTATATTTAAAAGCAAATTAGAGAGCTGATATTTTAATAGGACCCATAATATAACATAGTTCCTTTTTATGTTTTCTGTTACCATGCTCTTATTATCTTTTATATACATATATATATATATATGTATATGTCATATAGTAGCATGTCTTCTGCAAACAGTGACCATTTTACTTCTCCTTTTCAAATTTGGATTCATTTTATTTCTTTTTCTTCCCTGATTGCTGTAGCTAAGACTTAAAAAATGATGTTGAATAAAAGTGGCAAAAGTGGTTGTCTTGTTCCTGATCTTAGAGGAAATGCTTTTAGCTTTTCACTGTTGTGTATGATGTTAGCAGTTGGTTTGTCATATATGCCCTTTATTATGTTCAGGTAGGTTCTCTCTATGCCCACTTTCTGGAGAGTTTTTATCAGAAATCAGTGTTGAATTTTGTCAGAAGCTTTTTCTGCATCTATTGAGAGGATCATATGGTTTTTATTCTTCAATTTGTTGATGTGGTGTATCACACTGATTGATTTGTGGATATTGAAAAATCCTTACACCCCTGGCATAAATCCCAGTTGATCATGGTGTATGATCCTTTTAATGTATTGTTGGATTCAGTTTGCTGGTATTTTGTTGAAGATTTTTGCATCTATGTTCATCAGTGATATTTTTCTTTTTTGTGATATTTTTTTCTGGTTTGGCTATCAGGGTGATGGTGGCCTCATGGAATCAGTTTGGAAGTGTTCCTTCCTTTATAATTTTTTGGAATAGTTCCAGAAAGATAGGTTTTAACTCTTCTCTAAATGTTTGATAGAATTTGCCTGTGAAGCCATCTGGTTCTGGACTTTTGTTTTTTGGAAGTTTTTTAATCACAGCTTCAGTTTCATTACTTGTGATTGGCCTGTTCACATTTTCTTTTTCTTCCTGGTTCAATCTTGAAAGATTGTACCTTTCTAAGAATTTTTCCATTTCTTCCAGGTTGTCCATTTTATTGGCATAGAGTTACCTGTAGTAGTCTCTTATGATGCTTTGTATTTCTGTGGTGTCTGTTGTAACTTCTTTTTCATATCTAATTTTATTGATTTGAGTCCTCTCCTTTTTTTTCTTGATGAGTCTGGCTCAAGGTTTATCAATTTTGTCTTTTCAAAGAACCAGCTTTTAGTTTCAGATCTTTTCTAGTGTTATATTCATCCCAGAAGTCTCTTAGACTGTCCTGGTTTCTTTTCTTTTTTCTTTATTCTGTTCTGCCATTGTGATTTCCACCAATCTGTCTTCCAGCTCACTTATCCCTTCTTCTGCCTCATTTATTCTGCTATTGATTCCTTCTAGTGTATTTTTCATTTCAGTTATTGTATAGTTCATCTCTGTTTGTTAGTTCTTTAAGTCTTCTGGCTCTTTGTTAAACATTTCTTATATCTTCTCAGTCTGTGCCTCCATTCTTTTTCTGAGATCTTGGATCATCTTTACTGTCATTATTCTGAATTCTTTTTTCAGGCAGATTGCCTATCTCCACTTCCTTAGTTGCTGTTCTGGGGTTTTATCTTGTTCCTTCATCTGGAACATATTTCTTTGCCATCTCATTTTGTCTTTCTGTGTTTAGGGGCTCTGTTCCACAGGCTGCAGGACTGTAGTTTTTCTTGCTTCTGGTGTCTGCCCTCTGGTGGGTGAGGTTGGTGCAGGAGCTTGTGCAGGCTTCCTGATGGAAGGGGACTGGTGCCTGCCCACTGGTGGTGGGTGGAGCTGGATCTTGTCCCTCTGGTGGGCAGGGCCAGGTCAAGTGGCATGTCTAGAAGTGGCTGTGAGCCCAGAAAGACTTCAGGCAGCCTGTCTGTTGATATGTGGGGCTGTGTTCCCACCCTGCTGCTTGTTTACTCTGAGGCCTCCCAGCACTGGAGTCTGCAGGCTATTGGATGGGGCCAGGTCTTGGTGCCAAAATGGCAACCTCTGGGAGAGCACACACCAAGGAATATTCCCTAGGCCCTCCATCACCAGTGCCCTTACCCCCACAGTGAGCTACAGCCGACCCCCACCTCCCCAGGAGACCCCCCCCCCACAAGACCCACAGGTAGGTCTGGCCCAGGCTCCTATGGAGTCACTGTTTTTCCCTGGGTCTCAGTGCACATGAAGGCTTGTGTGTGCCCTTCAAGAGTGAAGTCTCTGTTTCCTCCTGTCCTGTTGAGCTCCTGCATTCAAAGCCAAATGCTCTGGGGGCTCCTCCTCCTGATACCAGACCCCCAGGCTGGGGAGCCTGATGTGAGGCTCAGAACTGTCATTCCTGTGGGAGCCCTGTGCTATATAATTTTTTTCCAGTTTGTGGGTCACCCAATCAATAGGTATGGGATTTAATTTATATTGTGAAAGCACCCTTCCTTACCATCTTGTTGTAGCTTCTTCTTTGTCTTTGGATGTAGAATATCTTTTTTGGTAGGTTCCAGTCTTTTTTTGTCAATGGTTGTTCAGCAGTTAGTTGTGATTTTGGTGTTTTCATGAAAGGAGGCGAGCTCAAGTCCTTCTACTCCACCATCTTGTCTCCTATGGTATATTAAATAATGTATTGAAGACAGAGGACTATTTGGCTTGCAGAATGTTTGCATTAGCTTTACAAAATAAGCTGATATCATGGGAATAAAAGATGCCAAATATCAAACCCAACTTAAAAGACTAATTTTCCATAAATTTTACACAGTTATCCCTTGGTCTGTGGGGGACTGGTTCCAGGACCCCCTTGGATAAGAAAATCTACGGATGCTCAAGTCCCTTATGTAAAATGACTTAATACAATCAGCCTTCCATATCCGTGGATGCAGAACCCTGTGGATAAGGAGAATGAACTATATATAGGCACAGGTATAAAACGTTACAGATCCTTAAATGGATATGTCCCTCTTCAGATGGCAACATCAAGAATCACAACCTCTGTTGGCTCATCCCTCTTCTCATCACCACAGCAACCCACAACTCATAATAAGCAGTGAAAAGTATTACTAGGGGAGATGGAGACCAGCAACATGTGCCCCTTATTTGCAGATGCTTTTCCTCAGGGGCATGATCTTTTGATTTTGGCTTACCCTAAAGAATCTTAGTATACTCTGATATGCAGATACATCTAGTCAGAACTTGAAAATTTTCGTTTGGATCATAGGCAGAGTCAAAGTTGAGTATCAAGAATGCTACTCAGGGCTTCTCTGGTGGCACAGTGGTTAAGAATCCTCCTGCCAATGCAGGGGACATGGGTTCAATCCCTGGTCTGGGAAGATCCCACATGCCATGGAGCAACTAAGCCTGTGCACCACAACTACTGAAGCCTGCATGCTCTAGGGCCCGCATGCTAAAACTACTGAGCCTGTGTGCTTCAACTACTGAAGCCAGCACACCTAGAGCCTGTGCTCTGCAACAAGAGGAGCCACCACAGTGACAAGCCCACACACCGCAACGCAACTAGAGAAAGCCTGCACGTAGCAAAAGGACCCAACACAGCCAAAAATAAATACATAAACAAAACAAGAATGCTGCTCAGACTTCTAGGTATGATTTCCCTAGTAGACCCTCAATTAATAAAGGAAATACCAAGCTTACATAGACCTTTCTTTTTTTTTTAATAGACGCTATTTTTTAAGAGCAGTTTTATGTTCACAGCAAAATTGTGAGGAAGGTAGAGATTTCCCACATACCCCATCCCCAAACGTGGATTGCCTCTCCCATTATCAGCATCTCGCACCAGAGTGAAATTTCTGTTGCAATTGATGAACCTACAGTGACACATCATTATCAGTCATTGTTCATAGTTTACATTAGGATTCACTCTTGGTGTTGTATATCCCATGAGTTTTGAAAAATATGTAATGACATGGATCCATCATTATACTATCATATAGAGTCGTTTCATTGGCCCCCAAATCCTCTGTGCTGTGCATAGACCCTTCTTGATAAATACTGAGCAGATTTTAACTTCCAACTCTGATACATTCTAATCACACAGTAAGAAAATCAAATGTTTTGAACTAAAAGGGAATATAAGTTATCAATCTGGAGCATATTAACTATAACAGATGGATATCTATCCAAAAAGCAAAAGATACAACACAAGAAGCAAAGGGAGAGAGGAGTTCAGGGCAAACACGAAAAAGAGGAGGGATGTATGCTGCAAGAATCGGCCTCAGCACTGAGTACCAGGGTGCTCACCTCAATTCCTTCTGAGAATCCATCTTTTGAGCCTCTGCAGACACTCCACAGAATACCGCCATCACTCTAATTATGGAATCTCACCCAGAATTCCTTACAGTGAATATGAAACTGATCAACCCCCTTCTGCTGTCTACTTACAAGCAAACCCACAGCTGTATGTCTCAGGCTATGTATGCATAGCTCAGGGTTCTGGCTTGCAAAGGTTATTTCCGAGCTTTCATTTACATTTCCTTTTCACCAAATTCTTTTAAAAGAAAGTATTTAGATGGAGTTTTTGTTGTTGTTAGGTTTTGTTTTTTCTATTTTTGTTGTTGTTTTATTTTTCAGCAGAGCTGTTGCATAACACAATTGGTTTTTCATGCTTTATAGGAAAGCAGGCCACCTTCCTTCATAAAGGGTGAGGGCACTGATGTGCCTTCCAATCACTTGATTCTATTGTTCTAAGCAGTCCTTTCACTGTTTTTGGCAGGCTCAGGCTTCTGTGCTACTATGGCCTTATTTTATTATTGTTTGGAGGGGAGTGCAGTGTGATTATCCATTCTTCCTTCAGGCAGAGCAAGCCATCTGGAATGTTTATTAAGCCCGCCGGCTGATCAGGAGGCTAGAACTCTGGTGATATACATGAACGTGGGTTGTTCTCCATCATCACAGCTTTGTTCCTCTGATGATGCAGCACACAGAGAGGGCCCCGCTAATGGATATAGAGCACTTCACAGTGGAGGTGCCATGGGCTGAATGGGGAAAGATATATTTTTGGCCTCTGGGTAATTGACTGGAGGATGGTAGAAAAATGTTTAATGTGAAGCAAGAAGGCTTTAAAACTTTTAAATGTTTAATTTGGGGTGGCAGAAGGGCAGGTGATCAGCAAGAGGTTTGAAGAGCGGCCTTTGAAGCCCAAATCTTTGTGATGAGGTCATGCCCCCCTAAGCTCGTATGTCGCTCTGTGTAAAAAGATCAGTTGAGCTTGTCCAAAAATAAAATGCTACTATTCTAATTTTAAAATTTAGGCATTTCCTGGCCCACACTAAGCAGTACTTATACTTCTTTCCTTTTCGTAGTGTCACTGCAAAGAAAGAGGAACATTTTTCCTTTTGCTATAAATTTTGGTCTGTAATTGTTGAACATATTTTTTGCAGGAAGGCAAAGTTTGTCTCTTCCTGCTTTCGCTGTTTGTAAAAATGAGTGTTTGTGGAGCTGCAACGAATAATTTATAATGAGGATTTGGGTTTCTTTTTCAGTTTAATTTGGGTTTTACACTGAGTCAACTTTTCAGTCAATTATAGAACTATGATTAGTTACCAGTCACTTAAATAAGCACCTTTTAAAAATAGACCTATAAAAATGATACAGGGACTAACCACTGATGTGAGAAATCTCATGCAGGGCCACCGGAACCATAATAAGAGGAAGAAAAGATGGTTGAGCATATAAAACCTGTGTTTGGCTAAATCACAAGATATGCTAGTTACCTAACCTCCTGCATAAATCTGCCCTGAGCCAGTTTATTTCAGTGCACAGGATATGCTACCAATAGATCCTTTAGTAAACCCTTGACAAGAGAAATGAGTAATTTACCTTTATATGAAGATGAATGTATCAGGTTGAGGAGCTCCATGTAAAACATCTTGTCCGATTTTATAGTTTGTGTCTATTAATCTAGATATAGGCAAATGTATGTTTAAAGTTGAGCATATCAACAGAGATGTGGTTATATATATTGCATGTATGTGTGAGTATATATTTATCTATATATATACTCAGAGAAAATAGATATATCTATTTATATTCACATCCTTATGTTTTTCTCTACAAATTAGTGACATCTAATCCACTTCACCAAAAGTCGGAGCTAAACTAATATTACAGATGGAGCTAATCCTTTCAGACACATACGTCTCTGTATCAGTGGTCTATTGTCACAGTAATGATTCACAATAACTACTGCTCCCCAAATGATGTGGCTTCATATAGTAACCATTTACTATTGCTCATGAGGCTATGGGTTAGGCCACCGGGCCATACTGGTCCGGCACTGCTCATGCATGCATCTGAGTTAAGCTGCAAGTCAGCGAGGTAGCTTTGCAGTCTTAGCTGGTTCTGTCCCACAGCTGGAGCCTCACCTAGGAAAACTTGGCTAACTTGTTCTACTTCTCATGTTCTCTCCTCCTCCAGGCTAGACTGGGCTTTTTTTACAGCGACAGAGAGAGAGAGAGAGAGAGAGAGAGAGACCACAAGGCTTCCTGAGGCCTAGGTTCTGAATTGGCATGTTGTCACTCCTGCCATATTCTATTGGTCAAATCAAGTCACAAAGCCAGTCCAGGTTCCCAGCGGTAGGTAGACTCCACTTCATGATAGGTAGAGCTGCAAAGCCATCTTACAAATGATGTGGAGATCAGAAGGGTGAAGCTAGCTCATACCTCCCTGCAGCTCAGTTTGTGGAATGTCAGGACACATTCCTGTCAGGAGAATGCTTGCGTTCTTTTCTATCACCGTTTCTAACATACTTAACCCTGTGCCTTCTAAAATTAAACAATGCTGTACAAATGTTTGCCCCTGAGCCCCAATAAACCATCTACAAATTGCAAATATCAGTGTTCTCAAAATAAGATCCAATATATATAATGACTGTTGACCATAATCTTGGTCCTGTCTATACCAAGCAGAACGTGAAGATTCACCAGTTGAGATTATTTTACATACTGTGCCCAGAAAGTCTGGAAAATGTCATAAGTTCAGCCCTCTTCTTAAGAATTTCTTAAACTAATTAGGCTTCTACTTAAAACTCTCGGGAATAATATTTTGGTTCCACTTATAACCTCTCTCTGCCCCAGTGTCTTCATCTATAAATGTAGTGTATCAGAATGTGATTTCAAGGAGTTAAGCCTTTTCATGCTAAAATTCCATTATTTTCTTATAAAAATGGAGACACTTCTATATGAAGTCATTTTCTAGATTTTTCTAGGCTTCTCTAACTGTGCCCACCAATCTTCCACCTCCATGTAGTATGTAGAAGAGCACTGATTAGGAATATTAGGCAGTTTTTAATATCAGGAATATTAAAAACAAACAAGTAAACAACCTCAAAGTTGTTTGAAATTTGATGTGATAGCAGCTCACCAATTATCCAATTAACATGAAAACCTGTCTATCTGTTTCATACTCAGAGGTGAAGCTCAGACAGCTTTCAGTTTATTTCAACCGGAAAAAAAAAAACTGTTTAATGTCAGCTTAGTTTTCTGGAGAAGTGCTCATGTGGCCTACCTACTCTTTACCTCTCCAAATTTCTGCTCTTGATTTTCTTTTCTTGTGTATAGTATGTATCAAGTATTTATTCAATGCTTTGACATCATGCACTAAGCCAGGTGGACAAGAATCCACTTGTCTTTTGTGCCTACTTATTTTACATAGAAGAGACTCCTGGGAATATGGGAACTTAGAAAGATAGTGGATAGTTAGGCAGGCAGACAGACTTGGGTAGAGGTCCATATGGAGGCTAGATCACAGGGAGAATTAACGGGACCAATGACACCCTGTATCGTAAGCAAAGATAAAGTCTGATAATTTCTCAATGGAAAAATCTCCAAAATTAAAAGATGTAATATGTCACACCTCAATCAAACCCTGCTGTGGTACCCTACCCTCCCTCCTCCAATCCAAACAAACCTACAAAGGGCCAGTTTGATCCTGACTCTGTGAGTGTGAAGATGGAACTCACTCACTGGTCCTTCAAGTTCCACTGCCTTCAGAGGCAAGCACACAAGTGCCAGTGCCCTGGTCCCGTGCCTGGCACTGGCTCTCACTCCACTGGCAAGGTAGTGAGGAGGTTTCTACTGCAGCCAGCACCTCAGTGATAAAGGGAACAAGGCTTCAACTTGGAGCAGGACTTCTTGGGGCACTTTCTGAACCTAAGTTCTGTGGAGTCTCGGCTGAGATCATTGTAGCAAGGATGGAAAATTAGGGCAGATCAGTGGACATAGGAAAGTCACCCTGGAATTGGGAAATATTTGGGAAGAAGAACTCTGTAAATTTAGTTTTTCTGCAGAAACGAGATTGGTATTGGGGCATCAAGGTTTGAGTAATAGTGTTAACGAGACTGCATTTCTATTCAGCAGCTTTTAAACCCTGAGACTTTTGTTTTACCTGAATTTCAATCTCATTTGATTTTGTGAGGTATTACTTCCACTTTACAAGTGAAGAAACAGAGGCTCAGAGAGGTTAGGTGACTTGTCCAAGCCACATGGTTGAGACTTAAGGCCAGTTCTCTGTGATTCTGAAGCTGAACCCTCTCTGCTACCCCACAGAGCAGCAGACTCTTCTTCCCTCTGCTTTGGGAGTTATTTCTGTTGGGTTGATTCTGAGTCACTCGCCTAGTGTCAGTCCTAGTGTTCCCTTCATCAGTGTTTGTCTAGCACTAATTCACCTACATTTTGAACCTTGAGAACCAAAATATATTAACAACTGAATTAGGAACAATGCTTGAAACTTTGCTTCCTAGTTTGTAATAAGTGAATATTGGTCTCCATAATCTATAATGTCATTTCTGACATTTTTATATTATGAACATTTTTGGACTTTTCCATTGGTAATAAAACCAGCCAGTTGCCAACATATCCTTAAATATTTAACTTTCATTTCCATAAGGTCTAAAACATCCATTCAGAACCACCATTGGAAGAGTCTAGGATCGCAGCCTGGCAGATTCTCTCCCCTTAATCTATCCTACCTGATAACCTATTATTGACCAAACATAGTGCTAAATACATAAAGCATATTCCTGTTCTAAGCAAGATTACTACTCTCACTATATACACGGTAATGCAAGTAGCACTGGGTTTGATTGAATGTTCATGTTACCCACTGCTGAACTAAATACTGTAACTCTTCTGAGATAGAAGGTCTTTAGAAACTAGAATAGTAATCAAAGGCTTCAAGGCAGTTGGGAGGGGTTAGACTTAAGTGAACCCTGAAGAGTGGATAGGTATTGAAGGGAAGACAATTATAGAGGATTTTCTGACATGGATAACAATTCTGGCGGATTTAGGAATGGTGAAAATTGGAAACCCTGAAGGATAGTGGTATATATTAAAGGGAAGGGGCCAAAGCTAGTGTACTTCTTGGTGAAAAGACATGGAATAAGGGGTAAGAAGATGTTCCTTGAGGGTAGGTTTTATGTCTACATGACAGCCACTTAATATTTCATTCACAAAGAAAAGGTTTTCAGTCTATGTAAGTTAAAGGGATTGCTTGCTATCTTCCAAAACATGAAGAGTTTGTACAGAATCCAACAATGAATTGTCTAACATCTCCACAGTGGGAAAGCAAGGATGGGGTGAGAAAATGTGAGGCAGGAGAGAAGCCCTGAGAGACAGAGCCTTGGTCCATATGGGATCCATGACTTAATGTACTAATTCACTAATATTTTTGCTTCTAGGAGTCCAGAATTTAAGAAGAAATACTATTGACTAGATGCCTATTAACTAGAGATCCTTGTGACTTTGTAAGGCTCTGAAAAATAGCAGGTGTAGGCTCTACTTTTTAAAAGGTATACCTATAGGCTAGAAGTTGAAACATGGTTAAAGCACCAGAATCTTACATCCTACCATTCCTGAGAGGAGGTCAACGATTTCTTTCCTGAACATCTCCCTATTTCCCACTCCCTTTCATTTGTACCCTCTTTAATACTTCCTAAGCATTTATGCTGTATACATGTGGAGCTGCACTGAAAAATTAGGAAGATGCTGACTTCTTTTATAGGAGTAGTTAACCGCCAGAGTGTTAGGTTTCCCCTGCTAATCCCTACAGGTAAGAAAGATTTGGTGGAGTAGTGCATGTTCTATTTCAAGGGCTGACAGATAAATAATATTGCTCACAATTTGTTTGGGACAACAGGGCATCTGCTTGCTGGTTAGATTAATCCCCCCAGGTGTGTCTTCCCTCTGCCTATAGGATTTAATCCAGATCATGTTTTCTATGTAAACTGGCTATTAAGCAAAGAATTAGTGAGATCTAATAATTCATAACCTCTTCATTAAGAATTATGAAAAGCTTCCTCTGGCTTTAGAGAGTGTTTGTCAAGATTGGAAAAATCTCTCTTGGAACCTTTCTAAATAGTTGCATTGGAAATTGCTCCTGTAACAGATGAGCCCATCTCTTTTAATCTACATTAATAAACCACAAAGCAAGGGAGTTGGGTAGAGGGGCATTTTCATCCAGGAAGGAAGCCTGGGAGTACAAGACATGGATTTGTTGGATATCGTGGTAATTGCTTATGCACTGTCCTGCAGTTGACAAGTCTGTTTCTTTTTTAAAAGTAAATACAATATTTAAAAAAGTAAAACTCAGAAAAGACCAGGATCTGGATTGAATTTGACCTCCTAGAAGCATGATAGGGTATGGTAGCAATCCTACGGTGGCAGGTCTAAGATAAGCAATGTTGCTGAGTAACTGAGCAGAGTATACCAATGTGAATTATTTCAAAGTATCGAAAAACCGTCAGTCCTAAACAAGACTGAGGATGCACCTATATTTGGGGATCCTTCTAAGCTTCTCAAGGAGCAAGCCCAAATTACTGAGTAAACCTGAGAATCACATTTCAGTGAAGCCTAAAACTCAAATTTCATTGAGAAGCAACCTCTGTTAAGAAATGGAACTGTGGTCAAGATGGAAAATACGAGGCTGGCATGCCTTACCTTAGCCGAGGCATCCACAGGATCGACAGTCCTACCTCCTCTTCAGATCAACCATGAAGCTGCAGAGATCAAAACAAAACAAAATCACATTTCTGTTCCCTTTACAGGCAAATAAAATCCAAAAGATATGAATCTTTGAATGGATTCTGTAGTCATAAATAGACTTCAGGGTGAGCTGCCTATATTTCCACTCACTGTTGAATCCTATCTGCTATGAAAAATTTTCACTGTCTCCAAGTCATCATGAAAACATTCTCAGCTAATTGAGACATTCCCAAACAATTAAGATAACCAGATGCGTCTGTTATTTGTAATTACCTGAACATGCATTCCTTTCTCTGAGAATAGTTCCATTTTTTGAGCCTTTTGAACTACTCCAGATAATGAAAATGAAGATTACTGTGTGTGCATTTTTCACTCGGCCTAATTTTGACGTAGAATTACCTCTTTGCAAAATTAAGCAGCAAAACTGGAAACATGTGCGCAAAAAGAACTTTTTTCATTTTGCCTGGTGCCAAAATAATACGTTTTCTCCCCATACAAATTGTATTTCTGACAATTTCTAATACTTAAGGTAATGCATGTTTAAATGTAAAAGATGGACTCCAATAGGTAAGGAAAAAATAAACAATTTATAGTTACCACTCATGACCTGCCACATTTAATCTTTTAGATTCATGATGGGTCTGCAGTACTGTTTACAGTTCTTGGCATGTAGTAGACGTAGTAGGGTTTCCATATGTGGTAGCTACCACCATAACTACAATTCTTTCTACTGTTACCAATACTACCATCCCTACTCTTCCTGATAATAATATACAGTTTCTTCAAATGGAGATCTTCATTAGTGATTTGGGGTTTTGTTAAAATATTTTGTTATTGATTTGTCTAATTATACAGAGAATTGATCAGAATAATTCAGCACTTTCTTCCAACAATAGTCCTAATATATTTTCCCTTCTCCCATTATGCAAATTCTTATAAAATTTCCAGATACAATTCAAATTCTACCTCCGTTTTCTTTCAACTTTATAACATTAGCCTTCACTATTTATTTATAAATTACTTTTATATCTCTTTTTAACTTTTTTCATAGCTGTCTTGAGCAACTATTTAGCTTGCATTGTAATTTACATTTTTGTATGCCCAATCTGAAGACAAGGCTTGCCTTATCCTTGTTTTCATTTTTTACCTACTACTCTAGTCCTCGCACATGGTAGTTGCTCAATAAATATTTGATTTGCTTTTATTTGAAAAGATCTTATGCCTTTCTGATATATTCATTCCCTCCAGCAAATACTGTCTTCCAGTGTTAATTTTGTATTCTCAATTGTTGGGACATTATAATCCACCTATAAGATAAATGAAAGTCTTTTCTCTTGCCCTGGACAGTGGAGCTGGTATCACTCTAAGTCACTCTATGAAGGCAAAGTTTCCTACTTAGAAGATCAACATGGGGGAAATGTCTCTAGAGGTGGACAATGACATCAGGAGACCAGAGGTGGGAGAAAGGAACAGGGCAAAAAAGTGAAGAAGAAGGAGAAGGTTTAGGAGGAAGAAGAGGAAGAGAGGTGGGGAAACAGCAAGAGGAAGAAGGAAGAGAAGGAGAAGGAAGAAGAGAAGGGGGAGGAGTAGAAAAGCAATCATTTTCCCTATAAATCACATTTGTTAATAGTGAATATTGATATCATGTTAAAAGTGGAAGATGAGTGATATTCATGCAGCAGTTGCTAAATACTTTCCACTTTTTTTTTTTTTTTTTGGCAGTACACGGGCCTCTCACTGTTGTGGCCTCTCCTGTTGCAGAGCACAGGCTCCGGACCCGCAGGCTCAGCGGCCATGGCTCACGGGCCCAGGCACTCCGTCGCATGTGGGGTCTTCCCGGACCGGGGCACGAACCCGTGTCCCCTGCATCGGCAGGCGGACTCTCAACCACTGCACCACCAGGGAAGCCCAATATTTTCCACTTTTGATGAGTACTTCTGAGCTAGTGTAGAATGCTCTTTATTCTTATGCAAGAATCATTCATCCTAATGATTTACAGCTTCATCAAATCCCTGGACCTAGAGTACAATCACCATCAAAGAATAAGAACTACTGGTCAACTTTTCCAAAACCAAACTCATTATTTTTGTTAACTGTCCCTCTTATATTTACTTGGCTAAAACTGTGGGACATTTATTGTTTTGAGAAAAGAGTAGAAATTGCAACCCTGCATATTTTATTTCAAATCTTTGTTCTGCTACTTAGTACTTGTATGACTTTGGACAAGTAATTTATTCCTTTGGAATATAATTTTCTAGTTTTAGAATGAGAAGAGTAAGAAATTATGTATGTACAATGGGCATTCCATCAATCTTAAATTTTACTACTAAAACCTTTATCCATTAAAAAACTCTTATATAGTAGTTGAATAAAGAAAACTTTTGGAGGAAAAAATTGTTATAATCTTTCATCGTTGTCTTAAATTATTATTATATTTTAATTATGTGCAAACATGCTTATAATTCATATATTGTAAAAATCTAAACAAAGCTTCATATTATACATTAATTAAACAAGGAGGCCATTAGACTCTAATGCCACGGTGACCTCCATAAGCAAACCAAAATCCCAACCTGTAAATGCCTCCAAGGTACCAAATGAAAACACTAAGGACAACCAATCACAAACAGCCAACTAGACTTTAAGCAATAGCCAATCAAATAATTTCCTTTCTTTGCTACAGTTTCTCTATATAAGTAAGTCTTTCCCTTGACTCCTGTTAGTGGAGGGTTCCTAAGAACTTCTGATTTGGCACTACCCGAGTCCAATCAATAAATGCTCAAATCAAGGGATTAATCTCCAAAATATACAAACAGCTCATGCAGCTCAATATCAAAAAAACAAACAACTCAATCCAAAAATGGGCAGAAGATCTAAATAGACATTTCTCCAAAGAAGACATGCAGATGGCCAAGAGGCACATGAAAAGCTGCTCAACATCACTAATTATTAGAGAAATGCAACTCAAAACTACAATGAGGTATCACCTCACACCAGTCAGAATGGCCATTATCAAAAAATCTACAAACAACAAGTGCTGGAGAGGGTGTGGAGAAAAGGGAAACCACTTGCACTGTTGGTGAGAATGTAAATTGATACGAGCCACTATGGAGAACAGAATGGAGGTTCCTTAAAAAACTAAAAATAGAATTACCATATGACCCAGCAATCCCACTATGGGGCATATACCCAGAGAAAACCATAATTCAAAAAGACACATGCACCCCAATGTTCACTGCAGCACTATTTACAATAGCTAGGTCATGGAAGCAACCTAAATGCCCATCGACAGATGAATGGATAAAGAATATGTGGCACATATATACAATGGAATATTACTAAGCCATAAAAAGGAATGAAATTGGGTCATATGTAGAGACATAGATAGACCTAGAGACTGTCATATAGAATGAAGTCAGAAAGAGAAAAACAAATATCGTATATTAACGCATATTTCTGGAAGCCAGAAAAACAGTACAGATGAACCTGTTTGCAAGGCAGAAATAAAGATACAGACGTAGAGAAGAACCATATGGACAGCAAGGGGGGAAGGGGGAGTGGGATGAATTGGGAGATTGGGATTGACATATATACACTAGTATGTATAAAATAGAAACTAATGAGAACCTTCCATATAGCACAGCAAACTCCACTTAATGCTCTGTGGTGACCTAAATGGGAAGGAAATTCCAAAAAGAGGGGATATATGTATACATATAGCTGATTCACTTTGCTGTACAGCAGAAACTAACACAAAGTTGTAAAGCAACTATACCCCAATAAAAAAATAATATCTGAGAAAAAAATACTCAAATAAACTCTTAAAAAATTTAATATTCTCAGTTTATCTTTTAACATATACAAATAAAACTATGTAGCTAAAACTATTCAAATAATTTGACGTGGCAGATGATATGTTGTTTTGCTGAACTAAATGATCTATGTGGGTTCAATTGTAACATACACACACACACACACACACACACACACATATGGCATTTGATTCATTTTCTTTAAACTTGTATAGTTGTAATGTTGAGCCTGATGGACGATTCCTTAAATCATAGTCATTACTGTAGTCATCTTTCCTCTTTAAAGAATAGCTAATTTAGACCACAATCCACTGTTTTAATGGGCCCATCCATTTAGCAGTCCACCCAAAAACTAATACTAAAAAATAATCTTAAAATATAATTTAATGGAAAATTCCTCAGTGTTTACTACCACTTACTCCTCATGAACTACTGCAAGTTGTGATGTACAAAGATGGGTCTGGAAGGAACATCTGTGAGAAACATGGATGGTACCTATTGCTCTGCATGGATTTCTGTGAGTTCAGTAATGCTTATACCACTATATGCCCTGTGATGACTTAATTATTCAACCAGAATTCTCTATTTGACCAACTATCAAACCTTTGGCATTTTTTACTAGCTGTTGTGATGTCATTTATTCTTCATTTGGTACAAAAATCCCATTTATATATTAAGTCTGCCTCTGTTCTTTTCTCATTAACCTGTGACAATTAATGTAGAACATTATTCCACCACACTGTCATTTTCATGATGTCAAAACATCCTACATTTATTAAATTATGAAGCTAAAATCCTAGTCTGTGAAAATATCTTTCAGTTGTAGCTGATCACTATAAAAGAGAAGTTTTGCCTTTATAATCAGTAAAAGAATCCAACAAGAATACAATAGCAGACACATGATGAACGCTGTCTCATTAACATTAGGACATATCACCTAAAGCCAGCCAGAAAATCTCTATCTGTATGTTATCCCTGGGGATCAATATGACAGTAAACTCACAGATAAACCAGAGCACTGAGATCATGTGGCACTACTTAGTTATAAGGTAGTCTAGTAGATGATTCAGAATATGTTTCATCCTTCCATATTTTAGAAATTATAATCAATGTGGAAAAATTAAAAGCAGAAAACTCACCATTGTAGATCTCACTGACTTTTCATAATGCTGCCACAGACACTCATGAATGAGAAGACACAG